TTAACCATTGCAAAGAATATGGTGTAGGGTGTGATCTAGTTTGCAGGCCAAGCTTATTTACCAATTCAGTGCTAGCAACATTAGCACAACTTCCAACACCAATGATCACCTTGCAAACCTTCCCATGAACATGACAACGTGTGTGGAAGATGTTCTCCCTTTGTGCTTCATCTTCTTTGGCTTGAGCATTCAACATTCTCCTCACCATCAAGATTCAAGAACTCCCCTTCTACAGCTCCTTGAATTTCAGCACTTTCCCCTTGTGAATCATCATTGCTCATCTCTTGATCTTTGTCAGATTCAGTTTGAATATCTCCAAAATCATTAATTATCATTGTTTTCTTATTAGGACAGTCTTTGGCAATGTTTCATATTCCTTGGCACCTAAAACAACGAATACCACTTGGTCTAGTTGAGGAAAATTCAACTTTACCTTTACCTTTATCAACAGCTTCTTTCGGTTTGCTAGCTTCTCCTTTGGAGTCATTTTTCCATTCCTTTTTTCCCTTGCTAGCTTTCCAATTTGAAGTGTTGGATTGGGCCCTCTTTTTCCTCTTCATGAACTTTTTCTCAATTTGGACAGCCTTTTGAACCATCTCTTCATAGTCCACAAAATCATGCATTTCCATCTCCTCACGGATATCCCAATTTAGCCCCTTGATGAAACGGGCAATGGTGCTTTGTGGATCATCCTCCAAACCCAGCTTTGTCATCCTCCAAACCCTTACTCTCCCACTCTAGATAAGCATCCGGATCACTCTTCCCCTGGAAATTAGGCATACTCATTTTAATGTTGCCCAAATCATCATCTACATCCCTTCTTGATGCCCTTCTTCTCCCTCTTTCTCTCCTTCCCATTTCTATCTCACTATCCTCAATCTCCTCACTATCATAGCCCGTAGAATACTCAACTCCCTCTCTCACATTCCCTTGGGCTCTCAAATTATTTCTCCTCCGTTCTCCCTCATTCCCTTGTGCCCTTTGATCATTTCCTCCCTCATTTCTATTTTGTTCCCTCTCCAATTCTATCCTCTCCAAACGGTCAGCCAGTCCACTCATTAAATTACGTACCAAGCCTAGTAAACTCCCCTTTCATAGCATCCACCATAAACTTGGTATTTGGACTCATGCTTGACTCATTATTAGATTGGCCAGACCCCCACATATTAAGCTGCAATAGAAACAAAAGTGCAACAACAAGATAAAAGATTAAGTTGGACCTCATTTCTCTCCCTCACACTCACTCTTTTTAGGGGGTGATCACTCAAATTTTACCACTCGTGTATAAGCACTCTATTATGCTCACAAGTTCAAATCACACACAAGTTGAATTCAAGGACCTTTCTTGGAATTCTAAGAACAATTTCAACTCAAACAAGGAGATACCACACACAAGGACGTAAGATGACAAGAATAAGAAAGGATTTGGATGAAAAATAGAGGATAGACAAAGTATATTTTATGTGTGGCAACAAAACAAAAAAAATGAACAAAACACAAAAGACAGAACTAGAAGATGATAATCCCCAGAAAACAAGATTCTGCCAGTGTATTTCTCAGAATTTTCTGTGTTTGTGTAAGGATTATTTCGGAAATTTTTATTTTTTTGTGGAAGGGAATATTGATGAGTTATCTATTACCACAAAAAAAAAAAAAAAAAATTTAGATCAAATAAACAAGAGGAACTATTTTTTTCAGATTTTTTTTTCTAGCAACGCAAATAGGACAATTCTGGCAGATTTAGACTATAGGATGGTTTGATGTGACTTTCAATGTCTATAAACATATATGGATCTTTTTGAATGAGTTTAGACACCTAAAAGACATATAGGGGAAACAATATATATAGAGCAATTGACAACAAACCAAAAAAAAAGAAAGTTTTTCATGCAAATTTGCATTCAATTCACAGATTTTGACATGGAACAAATTGACACAAGAAACTAAAGAGAACAAGTATTTCGTTACCTGATTTTGATGAGGATGACAACCAAAGCTCTGATACCAAAATGATGTGGATTCCACCAGCTTGATATTGGATTTAAAGGCCTAGAACTCCACAGCTCAAGTCACGATCCGTTTTCCCAATTTCTGTCAACTGATTTCTTGAAGTGTAAGGGTTGTTTTTGTGGATTGTGGTTGATGTGGGGTATGGGAAATGGTTGAAGCACGTGTATGAATGAATAGGGAAGTCGCCACACCGGGTTGAAGGGTGATAAGGCCAATTGGGACGCCACAAGGAGGGTAATATCCTTGATAAGTCAGAAATTCCTCCTAGAATGCTAGAAAGGAAATGGAAGTGCAAAGCACATATCCAAATGAATTCAACTTCAATGATCCCTTCAAAAATGAGTTCTTTAGCCCTTAAAAGGGGGCTATACACATTCAAATAAGGTGCATTTACTCCTTAGCTTGTAACATAAAAATACTTAAATTCAGAAGTTACTACTATTGAATTTTGAAGTAAATGACACTTAATTCTCCCATGTGACTTGAGTTTAGTTCCTTTTGTCTTTTCCTAAGCTTAAGCCACGAAATTGGACCACTCTTAAAGGATTTCCCCACTTATGTTAAGCCCAACTTGTTGTTTCAATTCAGCACAACCAGTTCGGCACATTTCTTCAACAAATTGGTCTTCAAATTCTAGTTGGGCCTTGATTCTTTGTTGGTATTTAAATGGCAGCTTTTAAGGCCTTCAAATGCAAAGTTAAGATATTGACCCATTTGGTATCTTCCATGTTAAGTCCATCAAGTATCTTGGTGCCATCTTCTTGCCAAAGTGTATGGATCAGTCCATTCATGGCCTCTTGCAAATTTTTGACTCTTGAACGAGTAATTGGACCTTCTCTTATTTGAAGTGGGTCTCCAAGCCTTTGGTTGTCCACAACACACACCTAACCGAATAATTCGAACGTTGACTGCCGATTAAGATGATCACAGGTCAGTTCGAACCGAACTGTCTAATGTTTGAATCAAACAAGAACCGAATCTGTACGAACAGTTTCAGTTCCAAAATCAAAGGTGGAACCTTCATATATACAAGGTTTCGATTCTGATTCCGCCGATTTAAAAACCAGAACCGAACCTTGGGCATGTCATCGTGATGGGACAACTAGTCGGGCAACTTGGCTAGTCACCTAGGCCCCCTTCACTTGCCCCCTTCTTGGCCATTTTGTTTTTAACCCCTCAAACTTCTCGTCATCCTATAATTTGAACTCTAAACTTTACCATCTCTGTGATTTGATTCCCAATTTCCCATCATCCACCCCAATTGTACTTCTACATCTTCTGTCCCATGGACACATTTCCTAGGAGTTCTTTTCTTTAGGAAAAAAAGATATATTTTAATTTATTTTATTTTTAAAAAATATTTTAAGTCCCATCAATACCATAAACTTTGATTATTTAAAATATTTTAATTTATTAAATAAATACATTGTTTCTTTTTAATTTGTAAACACATATTTTCTTATTGGATTGTTTGGATTACTTAGTTATACCATCTCGAGGGTTTGCATCAGAAATTCAATATAAATCTCTAAAATCCGTATTGCTGGGAAGAAATGGGCAACTTGGTGGCCAGTTTACAATGGGATGTTTGATAAATAGATATTAGTTGTTAATTGATAACTGATTACATGCAAAAATGACTTTATCAAAAAGTTGATCGAAAAAAACTTTTTTGAACATTTTTTTTTTTTGAATTTTAGCACTTTGGAGCAATAAGCTGTTACAAAAAGCTAATTAATGAAACATTCATATTGATTGTTTAACCAAGTCAAAAGGCTAATAGTGGTCAAATACCATCTTTACAAGTTACAATACCAAACCAAAGCAGAAGATAACTGGCTGGGAACAAGTATCAATATTAATAATGACAGTTGCAAAAATGAGATCAATAATTGAAGTTTGGTGAAAAGGTCCTTTTATTATACACTTTTTTGAACTATCTGATTCTTTTACTTTCAGAATTGGTAATATGAAAAACAAGGACTAATCTTGCAAACAAAATAGTAGCAAAAGCTAAACCCCTCAGCAATCCCACATCTCCCTATTCATATGAATCTAAGTTCCAAATTATTATACAGTTCTGGCATTCAGTTTATCATAATCATATTTATTATTATTATTATTATTATTATTATTATTATTATTATTATTATTATTATTATTATTATTATTATTATTATTTTGTATACAATTACTAAAGTCTATTCCTTTAGCCAACCAAACAACAGAATACAATTCATATTTTATTCCTTACCTATTCCATTCCATGTGGAATAGCATTCCTATTCCCTCCAAATTCATTCCGTGAACCAAACGCGCTGTTCCAGTAAAAAATCCCATCACCTAAAGATGTTCCAACAAAATTTGGTGTTACAAAGCTCTCTATTACAGGGATTGCATCATATAATATTGCACATTTCTTCTCATTAGGTAGACAATATTAACATACAATCCTCCTGGTCCTGGATAACCATAGTGTAAATTTGTAGCAGATCTAATTGAGTTACTTTATATAACAGCAGAGATACGCATCACTGTATGAAAAGTTGAAACTAGTGACTGCAAACAAGAAAACATCAATGCAGAAATGGAAATCGCTTGGACAATGAGACAATCCCAGCCAAGTTGGTCAGGCTGCTAACTAAGTGACCACAAAGTTCAAAATTCGACTCCCAAGCTATTAGTTAGGTAACCACAAAGTTCAAAATTCGACACCCAATCCCAAGCTGTTAGTTAGGTAACCACAAAGTTCAAAATTCGACATCCAATGGGGGGCTATTAGCCTTCTTGATTTAAGCAGGTCAGCTATGAACAACCTAGTTTACCGAGGGATTTACTCAGTGCACAACCTTCAAAATGAGGTAGTGGTTGCAGGTTTCTCTCGTCATCCAAACCAAAAAAAAAAAAAAAAAAAAAAGGACTAATGGACTAGACAATACAGAAGAACAAAGACTTTGATGAAACATGAGCTCCAATATATTAATAATTAATTAAATTAATTTAATATATCAAAAGTAAAGCAAAGTTAAAGAGCCTCAAGTCATGCTCAAGACGTATGAATGATGTAAAACTGGCATAACTTAATAATTCTAAACAGAGAAAATAGAATTTAAAAAAAAAAAAAAAAAAAAAAAAAAGTACAAAGCTTTGTATGATCATCATATATCCACCTGATATTCACTTTTCTTTTTTGGTCTTCTCTCCACATCCTACACTACAAAAAAAACACCAGGAGGGAGCATTGAATGTAGAATAAACTCCTCAAGCCTGTGATTCATTCTTTTTAGCTAAATTCTCCCCCTCTCTTTCCTTCAATAACCTGCCAGCCTCCTCCTCATCACTCTGTGGAGGCTTCCTCTGTGCCTCCTTAGCCTTAAGTGTCTGTAATTTGGAGTGATTGTAGTAGCCCACACCCATGAAAGCCAACCCATATCCAAAGAGATTGATAGGGGTGACAGTGTCCTTAATCACAGACCATGAAAAGGCTATCAACAGCCAATCCTTGACCACTCCAGCAACATTCATAGTCAAAGCAGAAGTCTTGCCCACAAGCAAGAAAACAGCGAGGTTGAGAGCAAATGCACATAAAGAATTAGTCCCAAAAACTATGTAATCTAAATGGAAACTGGAATTCTCCTTCAACACTGGGTACTCAACAATGACCCAAGGCACAATCAAGAAAACCAAGCAACAGGGCGCGACGTAATAAAGGGAAGTGATGGGATTAAGCGTAATACCCTTAGAAGTAAGCAGAATCTGAATCATGACCAATCTGGTGGCCTCAAATGCGACGGCGCCCAGTTGCAGAATCACTCCCCAGGTATCGAATTTGGCTTCGCCGTAGGCGGCAATTGCGACCCCGACCGAAATGGACACCATATTGGCCATGGTCTCGGTCTTGAAAGCATCCTTCTTGAATAGAACCCCGATGGAATAGACGGCCACGGGCATGAGGGCTTTGAGCATCTGAATGAAGGAAACAGAGAGATAAATGTAAGCGGAATTTGAGAGCCAGAGGGAGAGGGAATAGAGAAGGCCAATGGGGACGACGGATTTGAAGTAGAGATCCCAGGACATTGAAACTGGGTCAACAAGCTTGAAGACGCGGACGAGGAGGTAGGCCAAGGAGGAGCAGAAGGCCATGTGGATCAAGGTGAGGGAGATCGGGTAGGGCCAGTTGTACATCTTGCGGTCCAGAATGTACTTGTTGTAGACGATGACGGTGAAGGAGAGGAAGATCCAAATGGCGACATATGAGTAGGACAGAAGGATCTTCTTCAGTACACCCTCGCTCAAAGATCCTCCTTTTCCCATTACGGATCAGAATGAAGATCAATACCCAGATCTTGAATTTGCTGTTCTTCAGCAATGTGGCGTCCACAGCGGCGCCCGGTGGTGGGATAGTCGGAGGAGGAATGCAGGAGCGTTACTCTGACTCAGATTCTCTTCTCTAATGCTTGGGTTTGAATATGCAACCAATTCGGTTGAATTATAATATATACACAAACTCACACCACTTTTCATTGTCTTCTTTTTTGGTCACATTATTTGTGTTAATCTAAACCATCTCACCACATTATTACTTATTTTCCTAATAATAATAATAATTCTTCTCTTTTTCTTTTTGGTCAATTTCATGAGATTATTATTTATTTAGATTTAGATTATGTCTGTTAATCCAATGAATCTCACCAGATTATTATTCTTTTAGTTATTTTCCTAATAATTCTTTTCATTTTCTTTTTGGTGCATTAGTTATGTGACAATAGTGGAAGGATCTAATGAATTTCACAAGATTATCGTTTATTTTATTGTGAATTGAATGTATTATCATGTGAATAGTTGTATAATTTTGATTGCAATAAAGTAATAAACTAAAGAGAAAGACAAAAAATACAGAGATAATCATATTCTTCAATTCGATATATACAAGATATACATATAACTATAAGACTATTATGGCTCGTTTGGTTCACGGAAAATATTTTAAGGGAAGTGGAATTGAAATTCCATGGAAAAACAATTACTAGGAAGATGAATTTCATTGTTTGGTTGGTAGAAAAAGAATTACTCGAAATACTAATTCTATTGTTTGGTTAGATTTGGAATTGTAAGGAATAATGAGTATAAAGACCTATATGCCCCTACAAATTAATAAAAATAATATAATTAAAAAAAGAAAGTAAGGGTAAAATAGGCAATCTATTCACTTTTTCTTCCCATCTTCCAGGAAAACAAAATCCTTGTCTAACCAAGGATTTTGTTTTCCTCAAATTTGAGGAATTCATTTTCCAATGGAAAATGAATTACATGAACCAAACACTAGAAATATCCCCTTAAGGATGAAGATGTATTGTCATAATATAATACCTCTAGTAATATCCACATATATTTATTTACAACACTCTCCCTTAAACATTATTATATCATATTCATGCCTCAGTTAAAACCCTCGCTAGAAAAACCTAGTTGATGAATATAGTACATGAAATATATGTGTTAATGTATCACACTAGCTGTCTCGTTAAAAAAATATTTAATTAAGAAAATAATATCAAAGCTCAATCAAAAGAAAAAAAAAAAAAAAAAAAGTACATTGATTGGTTTTCAAGACCCAATCTTTAGGATTGATCTAAGCAAATGTCATTCCCTTAAGGGGGCGTTTGGTTCACGGAATCTTGGATTATCCCAGGTAATAGAATTACCTTCAGGAAGGTAATGTGAGATTTTGGGAATGTAAGATTACCTTAGGGGGGCGTTTGCCCCCATATCAGTTGTTTAGTTTCTTCCCCCATATCAGTTGAATGTTATGTCCCTATGAAGAGATGAGAAGCAGAGCTGTCTCACTAGACATGTCAATTTGTGAACAAAGAAAATTGAATAAGTATATAGTAATATTCAAAATTCTGATTATCAAGTATCAATGCGGTGTGGTTCAAGTCTTTAGATGGTCCTCTGATTCTTCAATTGGATGTCTAGAACACTCCACCACTGAACGGCCTTAAGAATTCAAGTGGCTTAATCTTCAAAGACCTTATATGTTTGTTCTTCATTGAAGGGCCTCCGGGTTCAAATGGCTGACTTGATCTGCAACATAGGTTTGGATCGATAAGAATAGGTTTGGATCGATAAGAATGATCTTCATGGAGGAGGGGCTTTTACTTTGATTACACATTTTTATATTGTGATCTCTAAATAATATTTTCAAGATGTATACATGATTTTTCCTAGGATCAATACATAGAAATGAGAGGTCCTATTTATAGCTGTAGGATAGAAGAGTTTTGATAAGTTCAAAATCTTTTGATATTATCTAATTAAACAAATTAGATAATATCAATATTATACAAAATATATTCAAATATACTAATATAAAAAAATAATCAATATTTATCAAAATTTTCGTGTCAACAAACATGACATATTATTTGCATATTCTTTCTTAAGGAACATATTAACATGATACATGTTGCAATTTTCTCTCATTTAGAGAACTTTAAATCCTTCAGGAACTTTTTAAAATAAATATTAATTGCATATCTAAATTTGTTATTTACTGCCAATAATATTACGTAACAGATTTTAATATACACCATCTCACGACATTATTACTTATTTAGTTATCTATCTACTATATACTAATAAGAGCCCAAGAGAGTTAGGCCTATAATGGGTAGAAAAAATGGCGGTCAAATTATTTAATCAAATGAATGGCTCAGATTGATCAGATTTTAATTTTTCCTTAAGATTTACTAATTTATCCTTAATGAATATGATTTTCCGTTAACTTTTCCGTTAAATATTATCTTTTCCGTTAATTTCCGTTAGTTCACTGTTAACTTACTCATTGATTTCAATAAGAAAGGTCTTAAGTTCGAACCTCATCCCAATCAAAGTTGACATAATTAGTACTCTATTTTACTCTTATTAAATTATTATATATATAAATAATAATTTAGTAGTTACAACAAAAAATAATACATATGCATTTCTTTAATTTAGAATTATGCATCTACAATGTCTTTATTCAAAAAAAAAATTATTCATTATCAATAAATTAAATAAGAGAAATAATTTCATTAGTTATATTGTATTTATTTTTCTCCAATATAAAAATTCTTTACATTCAAATTCATCAATTGATTATATTTGCTACATTGTCCCTACAATGTCTTTATTAAAAAAAAAATAAATTATTCATTATCAATAAATTAATTAAGAGAAATAATTTTATTAGTTATATCTACTATACTAATAAGAGCCCAAGAGAGTTAGGCCTATAATGGGTAGAAAAAATGGCGGTCACAGATTTTAATCAAATGAATGGCTTAGATTGATTAAAAGATTGATCAGATTTAAATTTTACACTAAAATTTCCTAAAATACCCACACATCGTTACTAATTCTGTTAAAATTTTAAGAATTGCCGTTAGTTCACCGTTAACTTACTCATTGATTTCAATAAAAAAAAAAAAAGGTCTTAGGTTCGAACCTCATCTCAATCAAAGTTGGCATAATTAGTACTCTATTTTACTCTTATTAAATTATATATAAATAATAATTTAGTAGTTACAACAAAAAATAATACATATGCATTTCTTTAATTTAGAATTATGTGTCTACAATGTCTTTATTCAAAAAAAAAAATTATTCATTATCAATAAATTAAATAAGATAAATAATTTTATTAGTTATATTGTCTTTATTTTTCTTCAATATAAAAATTCTTTATATTCAAATTTATTAATGGATTATATTCGCTACAAATGTCTTTATTCAGTGAAAAACAAATTATTAATTATCAATAAATTAATTAAAAGAAATATTTTCATTAGTTATATTGTCTTTATTTTTCTCAAATGTAAAAATTTTTACATTCAAATTCATCAATTGATTATATTCACTACATTATCTATTATCTTTTTTGTGCACTATTTTTCTAATTAAATATCAAAATTATAACATAAAATAATGCTATATATTTATTTACCAAGTATTTTATTAATATCATGAAAAAAATAAAAAAAATATAATTAATAAAGCCAACCATATTAACTACTTGAGAGATTTTGTGACAAAGAGAGTATTCAAATCACACAACAAGTTAGAACTACCTCGCAATGTCCTTGTTTGACAATCAGCAGTTAGCGGTTAACGTTAGCGGATTATACAAGCGGATTTGACCAGCGAATTTATTTAATTATTAACATTGGGTAGAAAAAATGACCGCCAAATTATTAAATCAAATGAATGGTTCATATTGTTCAGGTTTTAATTTTTTTTTTCTTTTAAGATTTTCTAATTTATCCTTAATTATATGATTATCCATTTAACTTTTCCGTTAATTCACCGTTAGTCTAATTCTAATATTAAAGTCTAATATAGAATTATAACTACACCATTAATCTAATTCTAATATTAAAGTCTTAATAGAACTTAACCACAAATCCTAATGTCGGAATCTCCTCAAACAATATTAGTATATATTTCATATTTTATGCCCTAATTTTTATTTGTTCTCCCTTATGTCCCGTATTTGGTTTCAATCATACCTATACAATTATTTTATTGACAATTATAATCAATATTGACTATATTATCTTGCATTTGTAAACTTAGAATTACCTATTTAACCTGCATGGGCTTAGCTCAATGGTTTAGTGGATAGTATTTGGGAGAAGAGACCAAGGTTTGAACCTCAGCGGCGGCAATACGTGAATTATGTCTAAAGTTGGCAGATTCCTTGTGCGTACCAGCATTTGGCCCTGTCTGCTGAACCATTGAGTCACCGTGATTTACAACTTCCCACAATGCTCTGTCGGGTCGGAGTGTGGGGGGCCCTTGGGGTTGGGGACTCAACCTTTGGGAGAAGAATTACCTTTTTAAATACGCAAATTCAACCTTCAATTATTTATGCATGAACAATTTCAATATAATCTTGCCTTAATATACTTTAAAGTACTTATTTAAAAAAAAAAAAAAAAAGCATTCAGCATTATCCCAATCGCGCAATACGCGTAAAAAACTAGTTTTCCTAATAATAGTCCTGCTCTTTTTCTTTTTGGTTCATGCCGATAGTGATAGGATCTAATGACTTTCATGAGATTATTATTTATTTAGATTTATATTATGTCCGTTTTTTTTTTTTTTTTTGAGAGAGAGAAGATTATGTCCGTTAATCCAATGAATCTCACGAGATTATTATTTATTTAGTTATTTTCCTAATAATTCTTTTCATTTCCTTTTTGGTGCATTAGTTAGGTGACAATAGTGGATCTAATGAATTTCACAAGATTATTGTTTATTTTGTTGTGAAATTGAATGTGTTCTCGCGTGAATAGATGTATGATTTCGATTGCAGTAAAAAAAAGACAAAAATTACAATTAAAATTATCAATCTTTTATTATTCATTTCAATTCAATATATACAAGATATACAGAGTTTTAATATAATATAAGACTATTAAGTATGAAGAGGTATTGTGATAATATAATACCTCTAGTAAGAGGTATTGAAGCTAAGCAAAGGTAAGTTAATTGGATTAGGGTTCTTCATTCTTCAACAATTTGTTCGCTAATTTGGGAGAAAAACCAAAATCACTAGTAGTCTAAATATTATACAATGTAAATTTCATGTTTTGCCCTCTAATTTGACGCCAAGTTCACGCCCAACTAACGGAGGAATGGAGGATAGATTTGGCTTAAAATCTAATAGTTGGAGGATCAGTTTGGGTTCAATTAAACGTCATAGGACCAATTTGAGAAAGAACTATAGTCAGATGACCATTTTGGAAATTTCCTCTAGTAATATCCACATATATTTATTTACAACATTCCCCTTAGACATTATTATATCATACTCATGCCTCAGTTAAAAACCTTACTGGAAAAATCCAATGAGATAAACCTAGTTGATGAAAATAGTACATGAAATATATGTGTTAATGTGTTGCACTAGTTGCCTTGCTAAAAAACCTTTAATTAAGAAAATAATAACAAAGTTCAATCAAAGGAAAAAGAGTACAGTGGTTGGTTTTCAAGACCCAATCTTTAGGATTGATCTAAGCAAATGTCACTCCCTCTGAAGGTAATATTCTTCAAAATCTACACGTTTTAATAAAATATAAACTTTTTTTAAAAAAAATGTTAGAAAGAAATTTGGTGCAATATTCTAGATTGTCACTAGAGCGAACATACTATATACTAGTCGTCTGACTCTTCTAGAGCTCATGTGGGTTGATTTTGACACTATATATATATGCTTTGTGAAATATTCTTAAACTTTCTCAATTATTATTTGCGCAACACAACCTTTATTGTTCTATTTAGAACATTGGGGGTAATTCATAGCATAACCAGTTTGAGACTTGGTATCATGCAAAAATAACCAACACCCAAGTAGCCTATTAGAACCATATCTTGGTGTCTTGCATAAATGCCAAACTCTTTGTAACTCGAAGGTACTGGAGGATGTGTTAAACACTATTCCAATATTTCATTGTAGGAGCACTAAAATGTTGTTAGCAATTTCATCGCGAACGCGATATCAGGCCTAATGAGATTATGGAACTTCTGGTCCCAATGTAGTGCTCCAACAACAATGAAGTAATGGATTTTTGGTTTTAAGTTATCCTCATTATCCTTTTTGAGTCTAAACGATTCCTTATCTATTTCAAGAGATTATTAGGCAACCAGTAGTGTGATAAGAACATAATACTTATCTATAAACATCTTCAAGATGCGTTTCAAGATAGGCTAACTGGTGTATTAAACTCCTTCAAGGAGATATTCGATTTGCAACTCGTGACAATACTTGGTTTGTTCAAGTCTTTTATTTCACACTCCATCTTTAGGCATGAACTACTATAGTCATGCTCTATATATGTGATTCAATAATAGTTGTGCATAGACTGATGTAATAAATAATTGTATTAGCAATTATTTATTGAACATATAATGACATATTATTTGCATATCCCTTCTTTAGGAGAAAAACACTAAGTCAATTGCAAACTATTCCAAGACACATAAAACATTCAAAGTTTAACATCATATATGTTGCGATTTTCTCACATCTTAAGAACATTAAATGTGACACCCCGAAATCCAAATTCAATTAAGGGATTAATTAAGTAATTAATCATATTTCAATTTGTAATTTAATTCCTTAAATTCCTGAAATTTAATAGTTGGGGACTAGTAATTGACTAGTCAACCCCAAAGTCAAAGTTGTACATTGAGCTTTGTAAGGAGTTCCTTTGTTCCTTACATTTCCTTATGTTAGTAAGGGTATTCTTGACCTTTCACTTGTTGTTGGTATTGTAACCTAACCTAGTAGACCACCTTCATTCTCTCCTTACACTTTTCTAAAAATCTAGCTCCACCTTCTCTCTAAAAAGGTGAGTAGCTTTTCTTCCAAGCCAAGTTGAAGCTTTGCCAAAACTTCAAGATTTGCTTCCAAGATTCAACCTTTCATATATTTGGGCATCTAGGAGGGTAAGATCTAAGTTGATCTTGTGTTTTTGGTTTTATCTAAGGTGTCTTTTCTTAAAGATAGGATCTTTATGATATTTTGGTATGTTCTTGAAGTGGGTTTGGAAGGTGAGCCTTGAGAGGAGCTTGTTGAGGTGTAAAGTGAAGTCTTTAGTCTACAAGAGGTAACCCATGCTCTACAAAACCTATTTTGCTTACCTATATGTGATTTCTTGGATTCTACATGTGTTTTGCTATGAAATGTGAGTGTTGATGCATGATCTTGTGAAAATGCATATCTAGAGCTTGTGTAGGGTTCATTTGTGCCATTGCTTGGCATTTCATTTGATTGAAGTCACTTTGTTGTATTTGGTGAGATTTGGCATGTTTTGGACTTGAATTTGATCTTGGACTTGGAAATCCCCGAAGGGATTGTTTTGGTACAGGACGTGTACCCGCGGGCGGAATGGCGGGCGGGGCACCACCCGTCGCCCCACCCGCGGGTACTAGGCTTGTGGGAGTGTGTTCCCGCGGGCGGAACCACGGGTGGGGCACTACCCGTGGGTCCACCCACAGGGAACAAGTTGGTTTTGTTTGGGGATTTGTTCCCCGTGATTCTTTTGACTCGGTATTTGGTCTTTTGACTTTCCGATGTTCTTTTGTGGAACTATTTGAGTGTCTTCTTGATGTTTCATATGTCTAGAACTATATGGTAGGAATCCATGTAGATTTTGGTGTCGTGAATCGTGCTAAGTGTTCAACATTGTGTTTCGTTGAACCGTGATGTGTCTTGTGTGTTCTTCGGAACTACCTTTGGTTTACCCGTTTGATAAGCATGCTAGTTCGGTGTTTAAATGCTAGTGTGTGTGTGTTGTTTGCACCTTCCTATTGGTTGATGATAACTTGTGTTATTCATCGTTGTTGGTGTTGGGCAGTGACCCATTCCTTGATTGAGTATGGTTTCATATCTTCGTTGTGACCCGTTGATTGATTCCTGTTGAGGTGTGATGTGTGTGTGTGGCTTTACCTGGATTGCACGATTAGTGGTATGGGACACTAGTCACCCAGGTATTGCAGCGGTCCTCGTGGTGGCCGTGACGTGATTATGGAGTTGTGACCTTTGTGTAAGGTTCACGTGATTCTTGGGTGGCATGTGTTGCCGTGTGTGTGTACGGTACCCTCGTGTACTATGAAATTGGTGGTCTTGTTGGTGGTTTGTTGGTGGGGGACGACGGTCCCAGAAGGGAAAAGGTTGGACTAAGAAGTACAGGGGTCCTGGAGGTAATGGTTGGAAGAAGATATAAGGCAGGGGGTAGCCATAAGGTTGGAATCGGGCATGAGGAAGGCATATCAACTCGTGATGGGTGATGTTACGAGCGCTTGTGTAGCCGTTGTTGTAAGTTCTCTTCTTGTGACGTGTGTATTCACAAGGGCATGTGTTGCCATCGGTCTTGTCTTTAACCTTCGTGTTGTGGTTATCCTTTGTGGTTTGGGATGTGTTCCCGTATCCTTGTTGAGAGTGTTGAGTCTTGTGTTGACTATTGCTCTTGGTTTTGTACTTATATACTTATGTATTCCGTTTCGAAAATGGCTTTACAACTTATATCTTATCTATGTATGTTATTTCACATGTATTGGTGGGTTACCAGCATTATTCGCTGACCGGGCGTCGTCCCATGTTTTATTGTGTTTTTTCAGGTGATATCTAGCCGATTGCGCAGTCTAGTGCTTGCTAGTATAGCTTCTCCCTCTTTCTTTTGTGGCCTGTGTACCAGTTTAGATGTAGTACTTTGAGACTATGGATTTAGATGTAAACATTGCAGATGTTGCCGTAGCGTTTATCCTTTTGGTGAACGTGGCATAACACCCCGTGTTTTGGATTATGTTTATCTAGTTACCATTCAGTCTTCCGCTGTGTTTCTTGTTTATCTCAGTTATCTATATGTTTAAGGCTTTTAAATAGCTTGTTTCTAGTTACCAAATGTAAACTGCCCTTGAGCACTTAATTTAGGAAACAAAAACTTAATGAAACTAACCCTATGTTTATTTCAAGTCCAACTGAAGTACATTATCTCAATAAAATAAAGGTGTACACACTTAATGAGATTAATGTCAAAATGCAAAAGAATTTCATTAAAATTGAATACTGAATGTATATATACAAATTACAAAGTGGGCGAAAGTCTCATTTTCTTAACAAGATCCTTGAATTTAACTGAAGGCATGCATCTAGTCAAGGGATTTGCTAACATTAACTCAGTAGTAATGGCTAAGAACTTGATGTCGAGGTGCTTAATTCGACTCCCACTTTTTCTTAGCCAAGAAGACTGTAGCTGAGTTGTCACAATAGACTTTCAATGGCTTAGATATACAGTCCATAACTCTAAGCCCAAAGATGAAATTCTTGAGCCACACACCTTATGGAGTGGCCTCGTAACAGGAAATGAACTCGGCTTACATGGTAGAAGTAGTTATTAAAGACTGTTTAACACTTCTCCATGAGATAACCCCACCGGCCATAATAAAGATGTACCCTAAAGTTGATCTTCGAGAATCAACATAGCCAGCGAAGTCCGTATCAGAATAACCGACAACATCTAGGATGTCTGTTTGCCTAAATCCAAGCACGTGACTCTTAGTTCCTTTGAGATACCTCAAAACTCTCTTCAAGAGAAATTGTTTCACATCAGAAACATCTCATTGTCATTGGTGGAAAACAAAATGTCATCCACATATAAAACAAAAAAGCATGTTTTACTCCCACTCACCTTCCGGTATATACAATGGTCAAGAGGATTTTCAACAAAACCAAATGAAGAAATAACCCCATCGAACTTGATATACCATTGATGGGAAGCTTGTTTTAAACCGTATATGGATTCTTAAGCTTACAAACTAAATTCTCACCACCCCTAGAAGAGAAACCTTTCGGTTGTTTAATATAAACTTCCTCTTCTAGATCACTATTAAGAAAAGTTGCTTTCACATCCATTTATTGCAACTGAAGATTGAAATGTGCAACTAATTTCAAAATGACTCGAAGTGAATCTTTCTTTGATACATGAGAAAAAGTCTCCTTATAACAGATTCCTTCCTTCTGATTAAATCCCTTCACAACAAGTCGGGCCTTGTATCTCTCAATATTGCCTAATGAATTTCTTTAGGTTTTAAAGACCCATTTACAGACCATAAGGCAATTCAACAAGTTCCCGAACCCCATTGTTCTTCATGGAATTTATTTCATGGCTTTATACCATAAGTCAGATCGGGCACATTTAGTGGCTTGAGAAAACGTCTTAGGATCATTTTCGACTGCAATGTCAGATTCTTGTAGATACGAAATGTAATAACTAGGAATTGTTGATCTTTTCAACTGAGTAGACCGTCTTAATGTTGAACCTCCATCACCTTGCAAAAGGTTGTGGGGAAACTACCTCTTCAGGAACTTGGGGCAGTCCTTGGACTGGTTCAGTCTGTATCGGTTCATAATTTTGTAAATTCTGAATTGGTTCAACCATAGGTTTAGAATCTAGTTCAGGAAATTGCTATAAGTCCTGAAGTGATTCTTCCAAAAGGTTGAGTCTCAACAGTTTGTGAAATCTTAACAGTAGGTTGTATAATCGCAAGTGGGACCGAAGGAACATTGTGTATACTTACAACCCCATTAGATGACGTAGAATGTTGAGAGCCATTATGATCGAATGAAGGAACTAAGTCCTTTAATCAATCTCTCCCACTGATCAAGTCATCTTCAAGAAACTTAGCATTCCTTGATTCCAGTATCCTAGAAGTATGAGATGGACAATAAAACTTATAACCCTTAGAAGATTGTGCATATCCAATAAAGAAAGCACTAGCTAATAGTCCTTGGGTTAAGCTTCTTTTCGTGCGGGTTATATATCCTCCCCTCAGACAGACATCCCTAAATAAGCATATGTTGCAAACTCGGTTTCCAACCTTTGAATAACTCAAATGGTATCTTAAGGACAACCTTGGTTGGAACACAGTTTAATATATACGTTTCCGTCTTAAGTGTTTCACCCCACAACGATTTTGGAAGGCAAGATTTACTTTGCATACTACGTACCATATTCAAAGGGTCCAGTTCCTTCACCCAGCAACACCGTTTTAGTCTAAAGACCCAGGCATAGTGTATTGGGAAACAATCACATGCTCTTGAAGAAACTTTACAAAGGGACCTGATGCTTGTCCATTTTCAGTGTATCTACCATAGTATTCACCACCCATATCAGATCTAACTCTTTGTATTTTCTTGTTACATTGGATTTAAACTTCAGCCTTAAATAATTTAAAGGCATCTAATGTTTCATGCTTATTATGAAGAAAATAAACATAGGTAGATCTTGATAAATCATTAATGATGGTGATGAAATATTTGTGAATGAATTTTTGTTAATACTACACCGTTTGGTGGCGTTTTGAACATGTAAAGAATTATGATTTAAATCATTCTTTAAGTTAAGACGATAGAGACCATCAGACAATGTACCATCACAATCACAAGTAGAATTATTGAATAATTTGAAATACTTGCGATTAAATTCGAATGTAAATCCAAAAGGGTACAAGTCTTGAAACTGAAATTAAATTCCTCGAAAAACTAGGAACATAAAAGGTCTCATCTAATGTCAAAACAAAACATTATTCAAAAAACTAATTCGCAAATTCCAACAGCTTCAACTGGTGATGCAATCTTGTTTCCAGAGAAGATGCTTCACTCAGTTCCCGTCGGCTGCCTCAGATTTTGCATGTTCTGCAAAGAATTTGTAATGTGGATTGGTAAACCAAAATCAATCCATCAAGAATTAGTATTAACATCTGACATATTAGATTAATAATATATAAAGAAGGGGGAAATATTACCCTTATCAGACATCCACTTCTTGAATTTGGTACAATCTTTCTTCATGTGTCCTTTCTTCTTGCAGAAGAAACACATTTGTACCTTCTTAAAATCAGCTTTTGAGGTCAATTCCCCCTTTGCCGTTGCAGTGAATCCCTTGGTTTTTCCAGATTTTTCTTTAGGCTTTGTTGTGGCCAACATAACACTCTCCCCAACCTCTTCAATAAGTTTTTCTTCCTCTTGTGCACACATGGTTATCAAGTCATTGATAGACCATTTGTCCTTATGTGTGTTGTAGGAAATCTTAAAGAGGCTATAATGGTGAGGGAGGGTGTTAAGTACAAAATGCACAGCAAAGGTATTTGGAAAAATTATTTCCAACTTCTTCAGTTGAGCCGCAATATCCCTTACTTGCATGATGTGTTTGCGTGCGCCCTTAATAGTGGAAAGACGAAGACCAACAAACTTCATGATTAGAGTACTTGCCAAAGCTTTATTGGATGTAGCAAATTGGTCATCAATAGTTTTGAACAAGGTTTCGACTTTATCACAATGGTCAATTGACCCACGAATGCTTCTTGGGATTCGTGTCTTAATGAAATACACACACAACCGATTAGATCTAATCCATATTGTTCCCTGCGGGTGGACCCACGGGTAGGCCCCTACTCGTGGTTCCGCCCGTGGGTACAACACCCACGACCAACTTGTACCCCGCGGGTGGGGCGGCGGGTGGACGCCTACCTGCTGTTCCGCCGGCGGGTACGTACCTGCACACCAAATAATCCCTTCGGGAATTTTCAACACCAAGCTCAAATTCAAGTCCAAAACATGCCAAGCAATGGCATACAAGAACCCTAAACACAAGCTCTAGATATGCATTTTCACAAGACAATGCATAAACACTCACATTTCATAGTAAAACACATGTAGAATCCAAGAAATCATCATATAGGTAAGCAAAATAGATTTTGTAGAGCATGGGTTACCTCTTGTAGACAAAAATCTTCACTTAACACTTCACCAAGCTCCTAATAAGGCTCACCTTCCAAACCCACTTCAAGAACACACCAAAAGATCATAAAGATTCTATCTTTAAGAAAAGACACCTTAGAAAACACTAAAAACACAAGATGAACATAGATCTTACCCTACTAGATGCCCAAATGTATGAAAGGTAGAATCTTGGAGACAACTCTTGAAGATTTGACAAAGCTTCAACTTGGCTTGGAAGAAAAGCTATCTACCTTTTTAGAGGGAAGGTAGAGCCAAAGTTTGGAAAGTGTAAGGAGAGAAATGAGGATTGTCTACTAGGTTAGCTTGCATTACTAACACAAGGTGAAAAATCATGAATACCCTTACTAAAATGAAGAGGTGGAAGGGGACAAGGGAACTCCTTACAAAGCTTAAGGTAAAACCTTGACTTTGGGGTTGACTAGTCAATTACTAGTCCCTGACTATTGAATTTTCAGGATTTTTAGGAATTAAGATATCAGTTGAATTAGGATTAATTACTTAATTAATCCCTTAATCGATTTTGGATTACGGGGTGTCACATAGAGTTCACAGCATAAGTGACTCGGGTTCTAATACAACAAATTGGGGTTTATAGGGGACTTAATTTGGTATCATCAAAATCTAAATACAAAATGTTCCTAACAGAATCATCCTCCCAAGAGTTAAAGACAAACATTCGTAAGATCATTGCACGGTTCATGGGAGTCATCTCTACTAGCATGCAAATAAATACTTTTATCACACAATTTAGCACAAGAATTTGCAAACATCATGACACAAGTTGTAACACCCCAGATTTTCGAAACTTTTAAAACTTATATAATGAAGGTAAGTTCTCATTAAATCCCAAACAGAGCAGTACTAAACATAAGAATACGGGGTGTTATGCCACATCTGAGCTAGAGAACTCATATGCACAGCCTAGACTATCTAATTATCTTTAAACAACATCATTACATTATTATGGCACGCAGGCCGAATATGAAACTATCTATCTAAGCCTCGGGTCCTCTAGCGCGCTCCGGAGCTAATCATCTGTGCCTGAAAGCCAAATATATCTGTTCAGCGAATAATGCTGGTAACCCACTCTAACGCGTTGAAATACCGTATATATATATATATATATATATATATATATATATATATATATATATAAGAAAAGTCATTTTGAAGCAGGAAGATATATCCTAGGAAACTCTAGTTTTAAAACCGGAATAGACTCGACAAGTAGGGGTAAGCGCATTCAATAGTTATAATCAAGCATATAAAGATACTAGCATATATCCTATGGTCACAAATTCGCTTCATCTTATTCACGTCATCATTCGATTCGTATCTCATCACACAAGCATACTTTGGTGGCGCCACAGGACCAATCGCATGCCCATACATGAGGGTCAGCGCATATAGCTCTGACACGGCCCCGCAGCACCCTGCCTCGTATCGCAATACGAAGGGGTCAATCGCAACCGACCGATGAACTGCAACTCATCATAATGTTTGATCGCAACCAAACAGTGGACCGCAGCCTAAGAGTAATCGTCTGACCGCAGCCAGGAATATGAACCGCAGCTCATGTAAAATGTTTGATCGCAACCAAACGGTGGACCGCAGCCCAAAAGTGATCATCTGACCGCAGCCAGGAATATGAACCGCAGCTCATGTAATACGTTTGATCGCAACCAAACGGTGGACCGCAGCCCGAGAGTGTAATTCTGACCGCAGCCAGCTTCTGAACCGCAGCTCAGGAATAACCAATTTGATCGCAACCAAATTGGGGTATCATGCACACATAACACATAGCAAGCACATGCAACTCATATTAACACATTGGGAAAGGGGAGAAAACGTATAAAGAAACATATGCGTGGTCATCCACAAACTAGGAATAGTCCTAAGGGGTTCATACTTCTTTCACCTAGGCCAACGGGATACCAATTCAACTAGCATGCGATATATAAGACTCATTTATCCTACGAACGGTACCCGAAACATCAAACTAGACTTAGGCACGATAAACGGAGTCCGTTGGGACACCACGAGGGTCGGGGAAACATCAAACGGGGAAGCCGGGGTCCCGAGTTGGACAATTTCCAGCGGGTAGCCGGTGGGTGGAGGACCACTCGCCGGCGGCAAGTCTCCGGGCAGCGGGTGCCCGGCGGGCAGTCGGCTGCCCGCTGCCGGCGACGCCCTTCTCGGGCAGCGGGTAGGTGGCCGGTCCCCCTACCCCCCACTGACTCTTTATCAAAATAAACGTCCCGGGATCCGTTGTGGAACCCGAAACCATGCTTAGACACTTTTAAACGCAATTGATGACACCACGTAGACAATTAACGGATCAAAAGCAAGAATCATATTGATATAGCACATATCCTATCATGACTTCTAAACATAATCAACGCCCGAACATGCGAAATCCCACCCAATTATATCAAGAATAACACAATACGAAATTCTCAATTTTGGGGCTCTAATCATATTCAAATCAATAAAATCATAGTTCATCTTTTAATTACCAAAACATCAAGATTCATCAAGAACATCACATGATCATCAAGAACCTCTTAACATCATCAAGATCATCAAGATCACACATAAAATTATCTCACAATCATCAAGAACATATCATCAATATCATAAACGATTCATCAAGACACAAGTATAGAGAGGAGGCCAAAGAAGATAATTATAGCAAGGAAAATAGGTTTTGTTGAGACATGGGTTACCTCTTAGCCTTAATTAATCCTCCCTTGGCTAATAAGGTTCTTCTCTAAGATTTCCATCCGTTTGATCTCCCTAGGCTCGGTGGTGGAGAATCTCCCGGGAATATTTTCGTGTAATATAACTATGGGTGGTAAGGGTCCTAATTGCTTTCTAATCCCCTATTTATAGAATCAGGAATCCTAATCATAATCTGAATAATAAGGGCCTACTTTCTTTATTCCTAATAGATATATAGGTCTAGGATTCCTAATTAGAATCTGACTAGTAAAAGGTTTACCCTCTTTATTTCTAATGGGCTTAAAACTCTAGTTTAGGCAAGGGTCCACAATCCATGGTGGACCACATTAATTAATTTAAAGGGAACCCTAATCAAATTAAATCCTTTTTAATTATTATTAACGGAATTAATTAAATAATTAATTCGGGATTGAAGACCGTAACACGGGGTGTTACACAAGTAGGGTTAGGAATGTTACCATAATTGGTGCCATCATTCGGCCTTTCATCCTCACACACCACCTCAATGTCTTCATCACTCTCCTCTTCATTTTCCAGCCCTCCTTGAGTCTCCAATTCGTGAATTGGGAGTTCTTCAAGCACCGGGACTTCATCTAGCATGGGATTATCCTCGGCCCTCTTTGGTTCCGGGAGTGTATCAACACTCTTCAAAGCGTTAGCTTGGGCCTCCATCTCCATGTTCTTGGTAAGCTCTTTCATCAAGAGGCTAAGACCTTCCCCCAACCCTTTCAAGGGTTGCAAGATTTCCTCCATTTCTTCTCTTATAGCTCCCTTGAGAGTAGAGCTGTCGAAACGGTCTCGCGGGATGGGGCGGGCCAAAACACACCAATGCCTGTCCCCATAGCGGGACGAGCTAAAAAGTCCGCCTCTTAGCGGGCTTGGAATGTGGCTGGCCCGCCCCGCCATGCCAAAGCCCGCTGGCGGGGCGGGCAACCCGCCAGTCAATATTTTCTATAATTAAACAAAATTCGCTATACTATAATTACACACTTACACTACTGTGTAAATGTGTAAATTAAAAAAATATGACATGCTGACATGAAAACTAACAAAGTAACAATATGTATTAAATACTCCGTACTAAATATTCAAAATCAAACAACTAAAAAAAATTATGCTGACATGCAAACTAAATTTTTTTTTAATATATATTAGCAGGCCGCGGGCTAAACCCGCGACCCGCCTGGGCCTGTGACCCAGGCGGGGCGGGCTAAAAAGCCCGCCTCCTGGTGGGTCGAATATTAAAAAACCCATCCCCTACCTACGGCGGGACGAGACGGGTCGACCCAGCGGTTAAAACCCATTTTTTACGGCTCTACTTGAGAGCGGTCATGTCTTCTTTGGTTGTTTTTTTGGTGGAAGGTGTGTTTTGGGTATAAGATTGTGGGGAGTAGGCTCGGTTTGGGTAGGGGGTATACGTTTGAGAATTATAGGTTTCATGAGAATTGTTGTAACACCGCGAAATTTTGAAACTTTTAAAACTTATATAACAAAAGTCAATTCTCATTAAATCCCAAAACAGAGTAGTACTAAACATACGAGTGTGGGGTGCTATGCCACATCTGAGCTGGAGAACTCAGATGCACATGCTAAACTAACTAAATATCCTCAATACATCTTCATGGCACGCAGGCCGAAAGGAAAAACTATCTATGTACTCCAAGTCCCTCTAGCGCACTCTGGGAGCTAATCATCTGTGCCTGAAAGCCAAATATATCTGTTCAGCGAATGATGCCGGTAACCCACTCCAATGCGTTGAAATACATTATAGATAGATATATATAGATATACGAAAAATCATTTTGAAGCAGGAAGATATATACTTAAGAGACTCTAGTTTTAAAACCAGGAATGGACTCAGCAAATAGGGGTAAGCACAACAATCAATGATAACAGTTAAGTAGAATCATCATAAAGAATACGCAACTAAGGCCACAGTCTATTTCCAAATCAATCATATCATCATCCAATCATCATTTGTGACACTCAATCACACTGAGCTGGCGCCACGGTACCAATCGCATGCCCCGAACATGAGGGTTAGCGCATATAGCACTAACACGGCCCCGCAGCACCCTACCTCATACCGCAACATGAAGGGAGTTGATCGCAACCAACCCTTTAAAGACCGCTGGCCCATCACTCGGTGGATGTATTT